GCCACATAGTGAGCTTAAGGCCAGCCTGGACTACATAGTGAGAGCTTGTCTCAAAAAAAAAAAAAAGGAAAAGGAATTGCACTGCACGGAGCCCCAGGAGCTCTGCCTCCTGCCATGCTCACCTTGCCCCAGGCCTTCTGTCCCCTGTCCCCTCTGGATCCATGCATAGCTCCCCTGTCCATAGATACTTCTTCCTGAATGTCCCAAGCACAGCCCTTTGCAGAAAAGTCTCTGTCAGAGCACAGAAGGTGGTGGCCCCCTGGGTAGACCCCATGGTCCCCTGGTCCCCAGCTGAGTCTGGGAGCACACCTGCCCGAGTGGCAGACCCAGGAGGGCCAGAGCAGGTCTCTCCGAGACCAAGGAGTTGGGTCTCGTACCATGGAAGTGCTGTGGATCTGCCCTCAGCAACAGAGCTCTAATCAGTTCCAGGACTGCGTGGACGGAGACTGGAAAGGTTTCTTTCCCAAGTCTCCGCAGCCCGGGGAGCGAGCAGGCCGTAATTGAGTCCAGCCCTCGGGACGCATGAGTCAGCAGCCCCTTCCCGAGGGGCGGCCTGCCCCGCCTCGCACAGGGTTCAGAGATGCGAGGCCCTGCTGTAGGGTCCGGGGAGGGTCCGGGCAGGCGCTGGGCCGGGACCGGGGTGCTCTGAGCATCCCCTTTGGTGACTTAGCTCAGGAGAGAAGGGAGAAGGGGCAGGTGAGGCCTTGGAGCCACCGAGGGCCAGGGACAGTCACCTTTGCCTTGACCCCAGGGCTAGGCCTTGCTTAAGACCAGGAAGGCTGGCTTTGGTTTTGTTTTTAAATAAGCCGGTTGTTCTCAGTTTCGTGTGCAAACCCGGTGATGCACTTTTCTAATTCAATTCTTGAGTTTATTTCCCCAGTTGGATTATGTGAGTTATGTCCTAGAGGGAATTAGAAATGCGAATAAATCTTAGACGTTTTGAATTAGGGATTTCAGATTTGATTTAGGAATTGAGTCGTCCCACCCATGTAGCGTGCTGAGGATGGATTGGGTCTGTGTCTCCGCGGTCCTAGTGAGGGACTCTGGGGCCTCTCTGCCCCCAACAGAGGCTCCGTCTCCTCTGCCCGGGGACAGCAGGAGTGCGGTAAATGATCTAACTTGTCACTGGAGAGAATACACTTACTCCACAGCCGCACGGCCTCAGCCAGGATCATCGTCACGTTGTAAAGAGGGGTTTGAAAACGCAGGCCAGATCCCCCTGCAGGAGAGGCGTCCCGCCCGCCGCCAGTCAGCCAAGTGTTCCCGGCAAGGCCCCTCGCGGCCCTGGGGCTTTGCTTGTGTGATGGAAGAGGCCTCCTCGGTTAGCGCCACCTCCTCAGCAGGACTCCTGGCCCCAAGGAAGGAGACCAGGAAGAGGGCCGGATCCCACCCAGGGCTGCGGGCCCAGCCCCTGTCCCCGCCAGAGCTGCCACCCGGAGCACGTGAACACACAGGGCCACAGCCCTACGGCAGTCGGGCAGCCAAAGGCGCTGCACAGAAGCTGCTTTCCCAGGGCGTGAGTGGTTCTCAGCCATCGAGGGAGAGGCGCAGTCCTTCCTTCCCGGGCCGGCGTCTCCAGCCAGGCCTAAAGCGTTTGTTTCCTTCTCCGAATCAGAGAGGTTTTTGCTGACGGCTCCAAAATTAAATGCTGAAATTTATATTTTTTATAAATGATGCTTAATCTGATCAGTGGGATGTGTTAGAGAAGTTTGAGGAGGGGAAAATCAAACCAAAAAGAAATGTCCTTCAGTAATAGAAGAAAAGATAAAAAAGCTCATTTAGGAGACTTTGGAGTCCTGGAAAGTCCACCCGGGATCCCCACGCGTTCTGCTTGGTTCCCTGAGTCCCGGCAGGGCGGATAATGGGAAGGCTATGGGAGCTTATGACACAGGACCGGTGCAGGGCCCTGCCCTGGACTTGTCCCCAAGCAGAAGCACACGTTGTGCAGGTGTTGGGCAACACGGCCTTCTCAGGCCTGAGCTGCGCCCCCCGGGCACGTCGTGTGCCTGTGGTCAGGCCAGCCGGGACGGGCTCTGCCCTCGGACTCCTCCTGACAGTTTCGGGAGTGGGGGAGAGTACCATCCAGCAAGTGCGCCTGGCAGCAGGGACGGGCTGTCTGTAGCGCGGTTCGGGGCCCAGAGGAAAGATGAAAAGGGGGCAAGGGGCTGGACCGGCCCACTCTATGCCGAGAAGGCAGCACTGAGGTGGGCAAGCTCAGGCTTCCGGCAGGAGGCACAGAGCCTGCCGAGGCAGAGGGTCCCCAGGGACACAGGACGGCTGAGGCGATGGAATGGAAGTGCCTTCTCATGGCTGGGGGTAATTAGAGAAACTGAGGCCATGGGCTGGTTAGGAGCAGCTCTTGAGGTGTTTTTTTTGTCTTGTTTTTTTGTCTTTTTGAGACAGGGCCTACGCTATGCATTTCAGGCTGGCCTTGAGCTCACTTTGTAGCCCAGGCTGGTCTCGAACTTACAATGATCCTCCTGCCTCAGCCTCCTGAGTGCTGGGATTACAGGTGTGTGCCACCACACCAGGCTGCACAGCTTTATCTCTGTGTGAATTACTAAGATCGTGGTTCATTGTAGAAGACAGATAAAAGATTCATCGCTGGGGTCAGAAGGTTGTGCAGGATTTCCAGAAGCAGGAGGGAGTGTGGTTATCATGGGGAAACCTCCACGCAGCTCTGAGGCAGGGAGACGGCACTGAAAATAACACTGGGGACCAGCGTCCCCACAAATATAAAAAACCCACATAAAACCTTAGCAAACCTGTGCAGGGTGTGAGGAAGTCTGTTCCTCACAGGTCTAGATAAAAGTGTGTCCCTTTAGATATCCTATCTCTTAAGGTAGAGAGATTTTAAAGCTTCTGATAAAATTCAGCCAGCATTCTTGACTAAAACAGATTTGGAACTTTAAAATTCTTGGAAAACCAAGAGCAAAACATATTCACCATAGTCTACAGCAAACATCCTACTTAGCGGTAAGCCATTAAAAGCATTTCCTTCCAAGTTAGAAGTAAACCAAGGATGTCTGCTGGGCAAGGTGGTATGTGCCTGTAATCCCAGCTACTTGGGAGGCTGAGACAGGAGCATCACCAGCTCAAGGTCATCCTGGACAACTTAGTGAGACTCTGCCACAAAAAAAAAAAAACCTGAAAAGAGCTGGGGATGTAGCTCAGTGATGGAGCATCCTTAGATGCAGTCCCAAGTACTTGATTTTTTTTTTTGTTTTTTTTTTTT